TATACTATTATAAAAAAGAGGTGGTTGCTGTATGTGTGTATGTGTGTATGGGAAAAGTAAACTCGAAAAATACTGGTCGGATTGGGCTGAAATTTGGCATGATGATAGCTCACATTCCCGATTAACATATAGGCATATTCTTATTTCAAAAATCCTTTCGGGCTCCGCCCCAGTGGCTCTGGAGTTTCCCATGTTAACCTTATGAGAAATGGAATTATTGAATCTTAACAGCTGTTTCAATTAAACAAGTTGGTTCTGTTCTATGATGTTCAATAGCATTAAAGTTACAAGGATTACCAACAGGGTGCAGCACTATTATTTCTTTTACATTTATGACAACAGCTAATTTGCAACCAAAAGGTGAGTGAGCGTAGCGAACGAACTTCAACCTGGAGGCGAGTTAGCGTAGCGAACGAGCTAACCTGAAGGCAAGTGAGCGCAGCGAACGAGCTCCAACCTAAAGGTGAGTGAGCGTAGCGAACGAGCTCCAACCTAAAGGTGAGTGAGCGTAGCGAACAAACTTCAACCAGGACGTGATTGAGCCATGCGAACGAGATAATCTTGAAAATTAAGAAGTTAAACGGGGCAAAGCCCGCGGGTTACAGCTAGTTTTTTATAGAATTAAGTTACTTATTCCCATTAGTAAAACAATTTTAAAGAAGCTATAAACTAAAAATCTTGACAATTTTTAGGGAATGTTTTAGTAGAAATCCAGCTGGGTAAATAGACAATTTGATTACTCTGCAGGTTTGCTGCAGCGGGGGTATTTAATGGTTTCAATTTACCAATTCAAAATTTAATGTACTGCAAAGTCTTTTAATAAAATGGTGATGCTTTAAGAATGCAAGGGTGCCAAATAGATCTTCAAACCTAATTAAAGCCGCGTTTACACCGGAGTTTCAAACAAAAAGTTGCAAACTTTTATTGCAAACAGCAGTTGCAAACAGTAGTTTCAAATAAATGTTTGCAATTTTTATTTCATGATTTGTTTCCACGTTTCATGAAAATGTTTGAAATAATTTCGACCTTGATTATGACTCGCCTCGTTCTGGTTCTGATTATTCCGAGGATGTCAAGTGTCGAGGATAGCCGCGGCGGCGTGTGTCGTGTTGTCATATCAACGTAGGCCGAGACGATGCTGGGTGAACATTGGTGATTGTATGAATCATCAAATTAAAATTATTATTAATTTTAAAGATTACAAGGACTTAATTATAAGTCTTTTAATCCACATGAGACGTTATTATTATTTTTAAATTAGACGACCTTGTCATTTGAGGTTAGTGTTAATTCATTGACAGTCAAACAGCATTTTTCCGATTAATTTAACACTGAGTCGAGACACAGGGTGGTGCGAGTGATCACGTCGTGAGTGAGAGTGGAGGATGTAGGGAAGGGGATGGCGGAGAAATGTTTCTGTTTCGTGTTTCAACGGCTCATAGTGACCGAAACTAGTGTTGCAAACAAAGAGTTTGCAACTCCCTTTGATCTTTACCGACTTCAAGTGGAAACAAAAATTTCTGTTGCAAACACTGAAAAACTGTTTGCAACAGCAAAATGTTTCGTCTAAAAATGTGCGTTTTTAGAGATGTTTGCAATTTCTGTTTGCAACTCGTGTTTCAAACTCCGGTGTAAACGCGGCTTTATTCATAGGCCAAACAATTTGTTGTCCAACTGTTCTATTTTACATTTGAAATCATGTTATGATCTGCGTTACCGACGCGTAGTTAGTGATGTCGCTAATAGATAGCGTTGCAGTGGTGTGAGTAGTGTGCGCTGTGCGCGTTGCTCACAAGACCGCTCCACACAGAACAGACGCAGCTGTGAGCTGACACCAGTAGTTCTCTTGATTGCCGCGAGACAGCGTGGCGATGCACAACAATAACAATATCAGCTGGAGATAAGAGGGATGATTACGTTGTTGATAGGAAACCCGTCAAAACCCTTGTGTATCGTACTTGCCTATCTTTAGAAACCACGTAGTACATCGCAAAATTAAACTTGGTTTAGTAATTAGTAATTCGATTTAAATTCAAATCAAGCGCCAATTAAAAAATTACATTTCAGTCCAGTTTTATCACTTGTGTGAGCCATTCACTTTACTACAAAATAAACTGAGTTGTAATATTTTTTAATGCAAGATCGTTTTCAATAAACTGTTCACTAATTACAAAAATATATATTGTCTATGGTTCAATGCACGAATGATAGAGCAGAAACTGAACGATTCATAAACATAAATAAATTATGTCACTGGCCCGAAAGTAAACGTGTTTTATTAGTAATAATATTTAAATTGAACTGTCAATGCAGCGTATAGGCATTCGGACCAGTGACGTCATTTGTTATAATGTTTAAGATCCATACCGTGTCTGTTCTAATATTCGTGGTGTACTATTGATCTGTGTTGTGAACCTGTTTAACCATATAGATTGTTATGGTGGTAAATAATTCAACATCTGATTTTGTGATTTCTGATAAGAATTATTCTTCGATGACAGGAATTTGGTGCAATCGTGTCTGTGTGACATTTTTTAAACCCGTACGTCAATATCATTGCAGTAGAGGGTGGTGATAAAGGAAGTCAAGTTTCCGGTCTCTCCTTGGTCTGCTTGGCACGTCTGTCTGTGTCACGACCGTCGCGACTGCTCTTCGGTCCTTCGTAGCCAGCAGGTCCAAATATGAAATTTTGTAATAATTAGCCGCAGCTAATCAATCAGTCTGTGGTCAATTCGTCTGTAGAAAGTGTATAAATTCGTCAACTATAAGTATAAATACACCCCAACGAATGGCGTTTCCAAAAGTTAGATTTATTAGATAAGTTGGTATTTAGTTTTATTTACTAGTTGTATTCTCTATTGTAAATCAATTAGTTTTTAACATAACGATCCATGATGATTGTGATAAATTTAACCAATCGGTAATCTATGGAGGAGCGGTTGTTCTTGTTGTTAGCGCGAAACTTAGAGTCCCGGGTTCTAATCCTGCTCATCACCAACTGCTACGTGATAATGTTGTAACCTGCGACAGTGTAACCTGTTGTTGGAAACCCATCTTAAGCTGTTGGTCCATCTGAGTAGAAAACAAAACAGATAGGTTTCTCAATAATACAGATAGGGTTTTCAGACAAAGAGAACTTTCTCTTTTCCGGAGAACTTACTCTGTTTCTAAAAAGTTTCTCTGTTTAGAAGAACTCACTCCATTAAAAGTTAACTACGCATAATATATTTATCTTATCGACCAATCAAGTCCTTGCGAGATAAAAGTTCCGCAGTTAGACTCTATGACGCCGACAAACAGACCTAACCTATAAACTTCTGCATCACTGGAGTTATTAGGAATTCTCGTCACTCATTTCCTGACCAGACTATATTGTTGACCTTCTCGCATGTTGCCTTTTAAAGTGCGATATGCGGCGGGATTGAATCATCGTCCAGTTCTTGTACTGTTATTGTTGTCAGTACAAGGTTTTCCTCCCTTTTCATTTTTTCAGTACAAACAGGTTTTGTACGTTACAGTATTTAGTTTTTGTTCTCCAGTTGGAAGTTTTGTTCATTTGTTATACTTCATGATGGATTGAATTGGAATTGGTTTTACCTATAGCTCGTATAGAATTTTGTAAATACCGTACTTGTTTTAAATCTGCTGCATTTCTCAGATTCATTTTACGGTTCTTCGGTTCCTACATTCTTGGGGTTCTTCGCTTCTTGGGGACCTCCTATACAGCCAGTTGAAAGTCTTGGTCCCGATTTATTCTTATTCAATGCTTTGGAAAGCTATGTCATCATTGCGCTATGTTTATGCACAGTTTTGTTTGTGTGCCTCTCAATGCTATTGGGATATTTACGTGTTCAAGAGGACTATCCAAATGATGATCTTGCGTCGACCTTTTTTTACATAGTATCTATCTATGGATGCCCCAATGACAAATTACATCAAGAAGGATCGAACCAGCAACATTCAGATTTGGAAGCTAACACCAAGTACCATACTCTGCTACCCTGACAATTGAATCTCTTTGTCCAATCCGTTTTCATGTACGCAAGTGCTTTACGAATTCAACTGACACTGTAAAAAAATTTACTATAGTCCAAAAAGAACATCACTAACACAATTTTTTTTGTCGTGAAGCAGCTCTTTATTTAGTTTCACGCATTTTTGGTTCTTAATGAAATTTGAAGAGGTCCAATGAAACTTGCGTTCCTTTTATGGTGTAGTTCACTCTTACACTGAACGTATTTGTTTGGCTCTTAAAGAAATTTGAAGAGGTCCGATGAAACTTACGTTTCTTTTATGCTAGGCCTACCTAGTTCACTGTTAGACTGAAAGTACTTTTTGGCTCTTAAAGAAATTTGAGGAGGTCCGATGAATTTTTGGCAGTTCACTGTTACACTGAAAGTATATTTTGGCTCTTAAAGACACTTGAAGAGGTCCAATGAAACTTACGTTCCCTTTGATGGTAGTTCACTTTCACTGTTACACTGAAAGTATTTTTTGCTCTTAAAGAAATTTGAGGAAGTCCAATGAAACCTACGTCTCCTTGATAGTAGTTCACTGTTACACTGAAAGTATAGTAGAATACAAAGTCTGTTGCTGCTGATCTCCGAAGACAAGTTTTTCCTCGGAATGTTCCACTTTGCCCACATCTAAGTGCGTTGCGACACATGCTGTATACTGTAGGATGATGCTGGGCGTTTATCTTCTTGCTTATCCACAGTCTTAACAACAATCACAACGCATTACCTTTTTGGAAGCATCAGCTGTTTCCATGCCCATTACCGTCGTTCCTCATCATAGGTGTTTAGGTGCGGTGGAATGTATTGCAGAGTTCCCCACTTATCGATATTGTCATGCTAATATTTGAGGTTAGGTTCTGCTACAATGGTACAGTCTGGTGCGCGGTGCGCGGCAGGTGAACTGACTGTACCGTCCTTGGTTGTGGTTGTCCCCGCCATCGCGCGAACGCTCGTGGTTTTCCCTCGCAGTTTGGTTACAGAGCGCGCCGAAGAAAGATGGCGACCGATCAGCTGTTAGTGTTTTTGACGTTTAGTCTGTGTTTGTGAAGTTTTCGGATACTGTTTTCGATTTGTTGTGCTGCTAATTGTTTTATTGTTTCTGTTGGGATTTTTTTGCGACAGTTGGATTATTTTGTAGCTTTCTAGAGAGCTCTCGGTTTCACCGCCGGGATCACAGTAATTTCTCTTTTGCGGATCTAATTAACGATTTTAACATTTTGCAGTTTACTTTAAATTAATTGCTTCATTTGTATAACATTTTAACAAATGAATTGTTTTACTTTCGAGCCTTATTAAAAACATAACCCACAAACGTAAAAAGATAACACTCTAAATTACTAAAAGGATAAGCTAATTAACTTTGTATAAATATAATACATTAATTGAAACTCAACCCGTATATCACAAGTCCTAACATTGTAATAAGTAATTTAATTACTCTCAACGCATTTAACCTCTAGTTAATTCATGCACCTGTGCGGGCTAACTGTCTGAAGTCATTGACATGGTTCATGTTTACAATAATTATTTGTTTACAATTTGAATACAAAGAATTCGTGGGACAGTTAGTTGATTTGTTGCAGACCCTATTACCATCAGAATTATTATACATATGGTATTTGTTGTTGAATGATGCGTGGTTTTGAAATAAAATAAACTTGACTACCTTCTATCTCGTATTCATTTGTTTTAAAATAGAATTTTGTTAAACTTTTTCTTTTCTAACATGTAAAGTATTCTTTGATTGAACAAAGCACATACATGTTTAATTTAATGTAACAGTGGAGCCATCCTCTTTTATTACTGGACAACTTGCCATTTACTTGATTCAGATTGTTGTATTTTGAGAGCATAAACTTTCTGCTTTTTTAATTTAGCAAAACTGAATCATAAATTATCGAATATTTTCGTTGACCACTCGTTGTGAATGACTATTAAACTAATATAATTCATTAATCTTTTGTAGTGTGGGGGTTGTATAATAAGGAATTTTTGAAAAGGGAAAAACTTCCATGTCATTGGCTCCCAAGTGTCCAAGTAAGGACTAAAATATCCGTGTAAATTTGTAGATCTATTCAAAATCGTCTAAACTTGTGTTACGGTATTTTAGACATTGATTTTTTTTCAATCAATTAATTTTTACACAGTTAATTGTTCCCATTGAGAATAGTTTACTCACATTAACGTCAACGGTTTATTTATTATACTGTTAGGTCTAAAACACCAATTCGATACATATATATATATATATATACGGTATTTGATATTCGTTATTGTACAGTTCTGTACTTTGGATCAACGATTATTTTTTCACACAAAAAGGTCCCCTGATTCACATTTTTGTCAGAAAACATCATAGATACAGCTCTCTCTTTAATAAGGCTTACATACTAACTAATCACTTTTTGGAATAGATACAGCATTTACAAACGATATCGAAAGCCTGTCCCCATTGTCCCCCAAAAAACTTCCTTTTCATCCGGGGATTTTCATGGCCAAACATCAATCAGACCAAAAAAGGCAAGTAGGGCGAGGTTGCGGGACAAAAGACTAAGTCGCAAATTGTCGGTTTAATGGGTGCCTGTTAAGTGCCTCAGATCGGTTGAGTTCCAAGAAAATTAGGCAATGAAAATCGTGTCAAAGAATTCGCTAAATCCTGCAAAGCATTCATTTTTCACAAGCACATCTGTTCACAAATTCCTCAATGAATTGTGGTTACAGTATGCTGTGAGTTGTAGACTCACTGTCAACAAAACAACTACCGTCCCATTTCCCTACTGAAGCAGTTTTCGCAATTCCACCAACGTTCTCCTATGACCCCATCCTCTTGCCTCACTATGTCACCAGTCAGTAAGCCACCGGTTTGGATTCATTCATGCCTATATTTAGGTCCGACTTGTCATGGCGGTCGTGCCTAAGCATATTTGCGCTCATTTAGATATGTTCGTTATGACATCGTGTGAATAGTGGGGGAATTGAGGATAGTGATTGGGAATTAATGATTACAGCGGTTAATTTTCAACTATACAATTACTGTTACGGATTTTTGAGAGGAGTAATTTCGGATATATGATGTTATATTTTGAAACAATTAAAATACTGTACCCTGGTTTGATTTGGAATTAAAACAAACCAAGTTATTTACTGACGTATTTGGAACTTGTCACAAATTAAATATATTGAGTCCCTATAAGTGTATACCAGTAATTCCTGTTTTATTATGTTAAATAAACAAATATAATGATTCTATCGGTGGATTTCAATACTAGTAAATTTCGTAATCTGCTAAATAAGTATTTACTTTATTTCAATACATTCCATCTCTAATGATTCATCACTAAATTGCTTGGCTATAAAGTGACAAAATCTTTTGGTTCTAGCGGTGGATGTTGATACTAATTCATAATCTTCTAATTTACTAAAAGAATAACCTGTTCTGACGAATTAGCACAACAAATCAGAAACGGTATACCACAAGGGTGTGTATTAGCCCCAGTGTTATTTCCCAGGCGATCCGCTGTGTACTAGTGTGAACGATGTCGCTGTACAAGTTCGTGAAGACCTCCACCTCCACGCGGGAGGGTCGTGGAGTGTCCCCTGGCCGACTGTTTGTCGAGGGTCGCTCGGAGGACGACCATGTGAGATCCATGGAGGCGGTGTACACCAGGAGGCATCTGTCCACGGACTACCACGGGAGTGCGGAGGAGTCTAGACACTCTGCGAGACGTCCTGGCGGCGTGAGGAGCGTGACGACCCGGGTGGTGAGGAAGACGACGACGTTGACCAGAGGGGAGGAACGCAGCGTGACCGAGAGTCTGGTCAGGGAAGGTCATCAGAGGTTGGAGAATGTGGCGCTGGAGAGGAGTCATGACCATCGGGCGATACAGGCCAAGAGGGCGAAGGTAGCGAACTTTGATAATTGGAAAATGTAACTGTTAAGTCAATGGATTACTCAAGTTTGCTAGTTTTCTAATCAAGAGTTTAATGGTTCGAAACTGGACCTAGTTGTTGATTGGTTGTTGATTGGGTTCGGAATTAATGATCCTGGCCAAAGGAACAGCTGGTCCTTGTCTATAAAACTACCATAGGCATCTTACTGATTTGTAGGTCCTTCATTCATATTCTGCTTCTGTTGGCGCCTCTGTCTTATAGACATGTTCGAAGTTTGGACGTCACTATCTTTTCTGTCAGGTTCTCAACCCTTATATATCTCTTTTTTGGCAAAGACCCCTGTCAATTTCATTCCAAGTAACGTTCAAATTACTGTCGCCTTGATTAGTTTCCCAACGTGTATATACATTTCATCGTAGGACTGAATCCTGACTTTACTTGGTTGAATCTGATGATGTTTGTCATGAATTGTAATTTTTTTTATACTAACTAGTGTTTTTAAAACTCAAAATTCAAATAACTCTTTGTGGATTCACATTATTTTATTCTCGAGTGTTCCCCCTTGGGAAATATTGCGGAAGCTCACTTGCAGTAACGACAAAGACTTGCAACAGCGTAATAAGGCTATGCTCAGTTGACTCTTGAAACCGCCAAGCGTTACCTGCAATTAAACCCAATTATGGTTACCTTGTCACTCCGCCGGGCACACACCATGGAGACATTACGCAGGATGTACCGTTGGAACACATGGAACACACTCACATGTCTAATGTGTCCTTGAGAACATATGAAACACTAGCTGCAAGTGTTAGACACTAGAATAGCACGGGAAACAAACTCTTCAGGTTTAAGATGTGCCGAAGATACACGTCGAACACATTCTGTGTGGGACGCTCTTCTGGAACACATTAAACACTGCAGACGTTATATTTGCTTTTGAAACACAAGGGACACTCTACAGTTGTTAGATTTGAAAGTGGGATCGTTTCTGCAGCTCAGCAGGTTATTTACTTAGACTACGTGGGACCCCTGTAGGTGTAAGGTGTGACGGCGGGATACGGATTTTTTTTACTGGAATAGAATCCTATAGGAGCACAAGGTTATAGCGTGAACTACCGTATAAGTCTCAATATCATACTGTAGAAGGCCCGCACGCATTATACAGGGTGATTTGTACTCAGTGTGACAATTTTTTTTTTTATGTAAGTACAAAGTAAATTAAGTGTGATGATGCATATCAAATGTTCCAAGTCTCAAAATTAGCGTCCCAAAAAATTATTTTATGTTTTTCAAAAATAACCATGCTTTTAAACTTAATACAGCGATTTCTCAATTACCTGTAGGCCTATATGGATTTGAGTAGATAATGTCATTTTCGTGTTCTACATTAAATTTGGAACAAGAATAATGGCGGAGGATCGGTTGTAAAAACTCCATTGTAAATAGATTCAAAGATAAAAATTAAGATATTTGATAAAAATTTTAAAAACCATGGTCTATTGTATTTTTCACACCCTGTATATAAGAAAGTGTCGTAATATGTTAAAAACTGCGCCATTTTATAAGCTTTCCAAACATATGCTACACTATTGATGTTTAGATATTTTTTTGTTTGTTTTAGTGGTTTGAATACCAGAAAACAGGGAACTTTTTACTGTTTTTACTGTTCATGTTGAATTAAAAACACATCTTTTGCTTAATACATGCCGACTTTCTATGTTTTAAATGTTAAAGACACCATGCTTTGTAGTCTTCAAACCATTAACGCGTACATAAGCAGACATAAACCTCACTAGTGTAGCATATCGTTGGAAAGCTTATAAAATGGCGCAGTTTTTAACATATTCCGACACTTTCTTGTATACAGAGTGTGAAAAATGCAATAGACCATTGTTTTTACTATTTTTATCAAACATCTTAATTTTTATCTTTGAATCTATTTACAATGGAGTTTTTACAACTGATCCTCCGTCATTTTCTATTATTCTTGTTCAAAATTTAATGTAGAACACGAAAATTACATTATCTACTCAAATCCATATACAGGTAATTGAGAAATCGTTGTATTAAGTTTAAAAGCACGGTTATTTTTGAAAAACATAAAATAATTTTTTGGGAAGCTAATTTTTAGACTTGGAACATTTTATATGCATCATCACACTTCATTTTCTTTGTACTTACACCAAAAAAATTTTGTCACACTGAGTACAAATCACCCTGTATACTGTATAGCGATGCTCAATAAACAACGGTCCCATTCTAAAAGAACAAAGGCTATATTCATCGATTGACTTACAAGCTGGACCTTCATAAATCTTGGCCATGATAAGCAACTCATTCAACAATACCTAAGTTTTTGGCTACGCACCTTTTTGCCTATTTCGCTAGCCAAGGTGTCAACATATTTTTTTCTACATTACACCCTGACGCAGCAGACCTGCACAATGGGTTTATTAGCTGGATGACGCACAGTTGCTACGTCACAATACACCGATCACTACGGTAATGTTAACGGTACAAAGGTACACGGGCCATATGGTGTGTTGTGCCGCGTTAGAATACATAGTACTGCCCTACTGTACTGAGGTTACCCGTCTTCAACCATAAAAAACTATACATGTTGATTTATAAATATTTTCCAAATTCCAATTTACCGATTTTTACCATTTAAAAGGTTGGAAATTGCAATTCAGACAAAACACATTTGTATTCTTTCCCCATTTTAGCGTTTTTTGTCGTAAAATGTTACTTGAATCCTTGTAACATGTTTGAATGTGTTAATATCGGCGTTTATGTGGCCTCAAACAACGTATCTGGCAATTAATTGTGAAATAAGTAGTTGAAAGTAAAATTTTCCTATGAGATTTTGGATGCGATTTCAGTTAATTGGCAGCTAAGTTGCCATAAATGTAGGAGTGATTTGGCATCATGCTGAGCTTATCAATGTTAAGATTTACGTGACGAAGAATGCTATGACTATATAAGGCGAGACAAGTTGGAGAAATCTAGGCTTTAACTATTAATCTCTGTCGGGGGTTTTCGAGGGTATTCTAATCAAGAAGTTGGTTTAAATGTTTAAAAAATCATAAAAAGTTAGGGTATTGGTGAATTTAGTGCTTACCTAGTAATCAGAAGGTTTTAGATTGTATCCTGAGAAAAGTTATTAGCTTTTTGATAATTCGAAACTTGTCACAGCTGCCCATTTGGCTTTTAAAATATGACCCTGGCTAAAGATTAATCTGGTCTCATAGTACAGTTAGTAACAAAGCTACATAGATCATCTCACTCCGTTCTATTTTTTTATTTCCATTTATATTATTTAATTTGAAATACCCAGTCGCATCCCCATTTGAATTTGTAATTTAAAAATATAGGTACAGTAGTACTTTTAATTTTTGTTGGAATGCAATTGATTTGTAAAAAAAATGGTTCAATTGAAAAACTCTTCGAATAGAAACGGCTTATTCTTTTTTTAACGCCATGGCTTGATTTAGAGAAGAGTGTTTTTACAAATTCGCTCTTAAAGTAAGGCATACTTGTTATTTTATGACAATACAACACCTCTTTTCTCAAAGGAAACTTGACACTAAACTCTTCACAGTGTGGGAACTCGTACAGAAGCAATGTATCAGTATCCAATATAGTACAAGCAATTAGTCCTTAGTTTCCCCTCCTCATTTAGGACGCCTGATCGGTTTTTAACTGCCAGTTAACACGTTGGAAATGTTTCCTGATATTTCACATATTACTGGTACATATTGTTTCACTTCTCCATTGGAACTTCGATGCTGATCAAGGAATTTAATCATTAATCTTCGTTACCATGCCATTTTACATAAAGGCCAGTCAAAATCATTGTAATATTTTAGATTTAAGTTGGTAAACACAAAAAAAACATTAAATTAGCAAAAAAAAAAAACTAAACGATCTTTACATTTACCAGACAGAACTAACCTTAAAATTACCTTCAGCAGATCAATAAGGAAGATATAGCATCATAGATTAAACATACTCCCTCAGCAGTAGATTTGTCATCCTGATGTGGATCAGATGAAGACAATTTTATTATTAGATAAAAAAATCCCCGGTGCTGATAGTATCGTCTTTTTGTTTGCAATATGTTTCTCGCCATTTCAGTTATTTAAAACTTCGTTTATCAATTTTAAACGATCTAATCATAAACACTAAATCTTCCCCTAGTTATATAACCAAACATTGAAGCACATATCATGACTAAAATAATAGAAACAAAATGTTGTCGACACTTGCTCCTAGTGCCACTAACATCACTAGACGCGAAACGTGCTTCAAATTTTACAATGGAATGGAATTGTGTTTATTATTCTATGACACATCGCTGGTTTTGATTTGTTTCATTTTGGTGATTCGTTTTTTCATTATTTGACGGTAGTTTGTTATCCTGTAGTATCAGAGGAGAAGCAATAGTTGACGAATTGTTTACCATTATTGCTAGATGTGTGTGTTTTAGTATGCCGCAATGTTTACAAACGCAGTTGTTGTGAGACGTGTGTGTTTTAGATGTTAATAACCTTTTTGTTATCAGGCGCTTATCAACCGGGATTGCAGCGTCTTGGCTCACTGTATAATCCTGCCGAGATAGTGGAGTGAAGTAATCGCGTGCTTAAAATCATTTGAAAGCACTTGAAAGTGTTTTAAATTCCCCGTAAAATATTTGTAGTTACTGTAAACAGTAGATACATTTGAGTATGGGCTCAGGAAATAAATAAAAGTAACTAAAAACTAGGTGAAGAAAATCGGGTACCTAAAATGGTCTGTAGCATTGACGATAATGATTCGCTTTAAAGTTTACTAAGACATTGGTTTTGGTCGAGTTTACAGCCAGACTTCGGATAGTGTGATTGTAATGAGGAACAGTTTCAGCCCATAAAAGGGCTCCAATATCTATTACACAAATGTCAATGCCATTAAAACTACAAGTCATTTTGATCAGCATGAATGATTGTTACTTCCATCGGGATCGTAATCAAAT